CACCCCCCCCCCCCCCCCTACACACACACACACACTCACATAGTCAAACTGACATACATGAGCAACTTTCCAACAATTTCTGATTACCTGTAATAATTTGGGTTCTTAAGCTGTGATTCATCCACAAGTTCAGCTGCTTCCTCCAGGATTGCCTCTATTTCTGCCATCTCCTGACCAATCCCATCGGTCAAAATCTCTGCTCGTAAAACTGAAAGTTGGAGCAAAACAAATCTCCAGAAACACGACCTGGTTTTTGCTGCTTCAGACAAGGCTTGCCACTGTTGTACAATTAGAAAGAACAGGGGTCAGCAAGGCACTTTTGTGGGGGAAAACATAGGTTTTAAGTTTTTCACATTCTGTGGACTCAATGAGGTCCAACCTTTCTCCAGAATCACAACATATTAGGAAATAAGACTTACTTCACTAGTCCATCATAACAGATTTGTAGATACACAAAACCAATCTGCTCAGTGAATTTCACACAACCAACATAGTACTTCACTTTTTTTACTTCTTTTTTTTTTTAACCCCTCCCTAGGAACTCCCCCTTTTGCTCGTTGGTGTTGGAGGTGGAGGGTACTTAAGCCAACTATCTCAATGTGAGCTCATATGATAAGAAAATCATGTTTGACAACGTGAAATTTAATATTTTAACTTTTTTTTAAGTCCAAGTATCAAGCATGGTGCTACAAGTGAACATGTAATCTTATGGCATGCAAATGGGGTTTATAATGCATATATGTTAGTAAAATAATTGATGTTGAACACCACAATTTCCAGCAATACCTATAGGCACATCACACATTTATAAGCAATGCAGCTAACCTGAACAAGCATTGGCTCATCAAGAACATCAAAGAGACCATCAATATTATGGTCAGGCCCTAGTGCTTCTGCCTTAATGGTTTGCCATTTCTTGATAAGGGTCTCAGCTTCTTCTATAGGCATTGGTGTCTTGTAAGCTGCTGTGGGTAATAGACCAGCAGCAAAGAAAGAATTTTGGAGACCAGAAGCTTGTGGGTGCTCGCCTATCTGCATCGTGAACTTTGGAAGCAACTTCTTCAACTTCTGAATGATGCCACTTCTCCTATTGCTTGCCTGCCTATAATTAGGATCTTGAGGAAAATCCATTTTCCAGGAATGGGAGCTTGTCATCCTTGGCGTGTTTAGCCACCAACCAGATCCACTTTTCATTCTCCACAACTGCATGTTCATTAGCTTGAAGGAAACAAAGATGACGCATCCAACTGACGCAACAAAAATTATCTTCTCAACTATGCTATTCAGGCCCAACCAAATTTCCCAAACCTTACGTCCAGCACCCAAATTTCTTTTTAACTGAACAGATGGCATCCCAGAAGCATTGCCCACATTGACCTTATCCACGGTCAATTGAGCTTGTAAATTAGGTGGAGCTAACTGCTTTACAGCTGACCCGAGATGCCGTGAAGTATCACCATACAAAAGTGGTTCATCTGTAGCTCTTTGGTCCCGTGTAATAGCAGGTGCAAGTGGCCTATGACTAATATGAGATGCAGTCTGCAGACCTCTTTTATTTCCCCTGCTCACGAAAGGTCGTTTCTCGCCGCGAAAGAAGTTTACCTGTTGCAAATCTTTAGAGTTAGTTTAGCTCTCTACAATGAGGTACTTTTCGAATCAAAAATTTCGTAACATGACTCACTAATGACGGAGAACAATCCCTCGTATCAGGGAACAAGCCAAGCACAGCATCCTTCAACCAGGTCTCCTGGAAATCCACAAAATGTTATGATGAGAAACATTTAACTTCAACTCAACAAAAGACTTATCCCAGATAGAAATATCACCCTTAGATAAAAGAACAGAAACTAGTTTTGCTTATATCATTATCTATGGTCAGAAAATCCTAGTTTTGTTTACAAAAAGGTGGACTCTGCAAAAGAGCAACAACATGTCAACAACTATAAATTGGTGCTGAGGAGTTAGGATCACGGAGAAGTGCATTTATATTTTAAAAGAGAAAAAAGTAATGACCCCTAGAGAATATAAAGTGAAATAAATGCAGAGGGAGAAACCAGGAAACCAGCCTATATGAACCACATACTTTCAGAGACTGATTAACAGCATATAAAGCAATACATACCAGTGGTTTTGATACAGTTGAAACATCTTTCGTTTCTTTGACTGATGCTAAATTACGTGAAGCTGTATCTGAGTTCAGCTCAAGCTGCCGAAGCTTTTCAGTAGCTGCAGCCTCATCCCCCTGTATTAACAAAATTTACTTTTCTCAATAAACACTCGAGGGAAAGGAAATACATAGCCAGTGAAAGAGGAAATTACAGATTTACCTGCCCAAGAAGGAACAACAAGAAGGCTTCCTCAAATTTCAAATCAACTCCTTCTGAAGCAATCAAACACTCACAAATTATTTTGGATTTGTTAATCTGCAATAAACAATTGAAATTTTTTGTCAACATATTACTGCATCCGGTATCCTGGCATTCTCAGGTAAAACATCTAGCAAGATATTGGAATTGTCTTACACACACAGAGTTGATGCAATTCAACCTTATATCTTAACAGCGTCAAAACACTTTATTGTGCAGCAAGTGAAAATCAAAGTACAAAGAATAGACCAACATCGTAATTACCAGATCAATCTGCTTGCTGGAAAATCCTAGGGCAATATGAGCTAATAAAACCACGTAGAAACAGTTGAAATCAATTACAACTCTTTGGTTTTGTGACTCAATGGACTTTTTGTTCTTCCTTGTGAGAGCCAAATTATCCCATTGAAGGAGTTCAACAATCTCCGAAGCCATAAGCTTGTTAAGAGCTTGATTTAAGAAGCATTGCCAATCCTGAACTTGGCAGGAAGCTTCTACATCAAGGCCCTGTCTGAGCAATTCACGTAATGCTGCAATGGCTCCTAACCTCCGCTCAGCATTTTCAGGTGTACGAGGCAGGCCTAATAACTCCAAGGTGCAGGCAGGGGCGAGCTCTTCCAACGATTCTTCTATCTAAGAGCAAGGTTAAATATAATCCCAATGAGAAACAAGAAACAGCACATCAGAGAAGTATTTGCACTAAATGTTGCAGAGACTGAAAACACCAACAAAACTTCCAACTCTCCAACTATAGACATAACATCATAGCTACACATTTTTACAGAGAGAACCTTCTATATCTAACTCATGCTAGGTTTTTAGTCTACTGCAATTACTGTTATAATGATAAAGAAATGTACTGATGATGAGATGGATGTAGAAAAATTGATGCACATTCACGTAGCACAGCCTTAGCCTTTAAATATCTAAACTACGGCACTTACATGTAAAATGAAAAATAAGATGTAGAAAAAATACAATTTCGCCTTCGCAAAATAAACTCTGTATATAAGACAGCAGAGCTAAAACAAGCTAACCTGAGATAATAATGTCATCTTCCCAAGAGAAACTTTGCTCCTTAAAAGACATTGAGCACGAGCAAGAGCTTCAAATCCTTGTGAAATTTTGTTCTTCTCAAAACCAACTTTTGCAATTGCACACTTCAAGAAAGCACCTAGAATAAGAAACCCAAGCATAACACAGATCCCAAGTAAAAGACAGCATAGAGTTATGATATTTTCTCTCTTTGCCTAACCTCAGCAAGTGCCATGGACAAAAGAATATCATGAACATAAGGCTTAGAATCTGGATGTTGAAGAGCTTTTTGTCCAATATTTAGCACAAGCTTCTCTTCCCCAACCTGAATGAATAATGTTAACATTTTAACTAATCATTTTCGCACAAACTTGCAAAGAAAGTAATCCGCTTGCTCAATAGTATATTGTATCTTACCTCTTGAAGAAGACAAAGAGCACTAGATAACCAAGCCCATGGTATTCTAAGAGAAGACCTTGGTGGAACCCTTTCTTTTATATTTCCGGCATATTCTGGCTCAAACAAAAGCTTATCCCTCACATCCATTAAAAGATTCTGAAAACATGTAGCCAAGCATGAGAATACAGGATAACCTCTATAAGAAAGATGAATATGTAGGACTGCAGCTACCACCTGGCGAGAAACAACAGCATCCATGGTGTATCCATCTTCAATCTCAGCATTCTTGAGATGCATTACCGACTTGACAATTTCATCCTTCTCAGCTCGGTCTGAGACACCGATGATCTGCAAGTTTATACAAAATTGAGGATCATTTCTTGGAAATAGAAATGTCCTTCCTCCCCTTACCTCCAGCTTTAGTACCACTTTCTTGGACATCAAATCAATTTTGCTAGACTTAGTACACAACAATTATATTCCCACTTGAAAGCACTGGCCCAGTAAGGAAAAGCACATTAAAAGTAAATAAAAAGAGAAGAGATTGTTTTATCTATAATGTAGCATCCAAGAAGGTGCAAATAACTATAAAAAGGATCCATGCTCCTCTCACTGACATAAACAGTCCATAGGTACATATCTCCATATTTTTTACATTGTTTATCCTATACTTTGTATTGTATACGGCCTCATTTTTTCCTTCACGAAACTTAGAACTTTTTTTGGAGAAGGCTTCCTGCCTGCAAAGTATGGAATATGGAATATGTAGAACGGAGACAGGTAATAATGAAATATACTTACTCTATATAGTTGACCTATATTCAAACCCCTTCTTCAATGCATTTATGTAGTATTTGGATATTATAAACCCATTTTATAACACGTGGCCACTAAGTTTTAAATGTTAAACCAAAAATGCATACCTCCCTCCGTCCAATTTACATGGCGGTGTTTGACTAGTCATAGAATTTAAGAAAAAAGATTTTTGAAACTTGTGGTTTAAAACAAGCTCACCTCATTAAGGGTATAATGGTAAGTCTAAAGTTACATTTACAAATATAGAAAGGTGCCACAATGGGACAAAGGGAGTACTAAATTTTTTATAAGGAAAATGTACTATTTTAATTTTTCTATTTTTTAAAAAGGGGCACTAAGATTTATAACTGATAATTAGGATTCAGAATGGATGCTTGGGATCACCATACTAATGAAGGTATGGCTCAAAATATAACAACTATGCTTCAACTCCAAACTAGTTACAGTTAGGCATTAAGTTTCTACATCCATTCTGCTCTATTTGATTGAATTGATAGATACGAAGCCCTCGCCATAATCAATCAGATGGAAAAGAAGTTAGGGAGAAACTCCATGAAAGGAAAATTGATGATTCATATAAATCGCTCAGTGGGAAATGTCCCGAAGAAATCCATTGATTGTGTTTCTTTCCAATGTCCGATAACTTGTCATTTATGACAAAACGGTTTTCTTAAGCTAGAGATTCTCAAAATCTCATGTTTATTTCCTCACTAACATACAAATCTCTAACCAAACTAAAGAGACTCATGACAAGCACCTTACCTAATGTATGTATGTGGATCAACAACTACTAAACCTTAGCTATCGCTTATGTAGATCCTTTCCTTTACATAGTATCTTGTTCTCCGCTAGGTCATCAAAAGAAAGTATTTTGTTCTCCACTAAATCCGCATACATTTTCAGAAACTATAGGTGTTCGAGACAGCTTCTTCTCCATGTGGTTCAAGCCTACCTACTCTTATTTCAACACCATTAATCACCATCAATCATCACATTGGGGAACTTATGGACCACTGGCATTTGGACCTAGATATTGCAATCACGTCTAGTCTAACTTCAATTCCATTCTTGTTATAGGGGCTAAACTTCTTCTTCTTTTTTTGAGAATTTATAGGGGCTAAACTTGCAAGGGAATGTTAGCAGAAACAAGTTGCAAATATTATATAATCACTACATAATAAAGATTAGCATATTTGTTGGAGTAAATCGACAAACCCACCCTCCTTTGTCATTAACAATAATAACGGCATGGCTCCATCATTTTTACCATTAACACAAGTGCACAGCAAGCATGCAGCATGATGTTTCACGGCAAGTTTAGCTGGATTCATTTCTCAAAGATTTCATTGCGTGACAGTTCTGAAACTCATGAATTTCAAATGCATAACTTGACAGCTATCCATGAGAAATTATTCCAACAATTTAAGCATTACTTGTACAGTTGAGTTAAAAATGGTAATGTCAGGAAGTTATTTAATTCAATGAGACGTGATTTTCTTAGCAATTTATTTTAATCTGCTTCCAGAGTAAGCTACGTATGTTTGTTACTTGTATTATTTCATTCACTAACCCTAAACATTTGTGAGTGTATCATATGTTGTAAGAAATTCTATCATTGGTCAAGTTTCTGAAGTATAAAATACTAGTTTTCCCAGAAAATGGAAACCAAAAGTCAAAAGATATAGAACCACACAAGTTATCCCATACGCGCATGCAAAAACATAAAAGGAAAATAGCGAACTTCCCATGAACGAAAACAATAGTTAAAATCTAGTTTTCTGATCCATTCATTTAGGCATCCATTTTGTTTCTCCGAGATGTAAGTAATTAACCTACAGTCCATTTGCACCAGGTATTTTCTATCAATTAGTATAAGCATGACTAGTACAGCTTCCATTTGTTTCTAACTTATGCAAATTGCACAATGACTATGGAACTCTTGAACTTAGATACCAGTGGAGCAATTAATTTATCACGATATTAATTTAAGAGCATATTGCTACCTTCAAAGTGCTACAGAAATATCAACGCTAGCTCTTTTCCACAAAAATTACAGAAATCATACTTGCATAGCTTTCTCCAAATATTACGAAAACAGATAAAGCAGGAAATCAAAGTCATTTTACTATAATTAATGCAACTAAAAGCGGCACCTGGTAGCAAGTGACTGGGATTTCAATAGAGGGAACTGTCGGAAGCTGAGAATTAGCACTACTCCTATCCACCGTGCCACTTTCCAAAACGCGAGTGTCAGTAGCATACAATCTCCACCGGCGATTAACCTTCTTCCTGGAGCCGCACCGACCAACCGTAACCCTAGCTCTGAATTTCCCCCATTTCTTATCGTTTTTACCTCTGATTGGAACATCTAAAGCTGCATTGTAGAGAAACACCTTGTCTAGGTCATTTTCATTGCTACAAAAGTAAAGTGCACTTGGCACTTGATAAAATATTGCCGTCATATACACCCAGTGTAGTTCTGTTCTGTTTTTGCAGAATTTTTTGTGGCATTACTCACAAATTACCAAAATCAACATTGCAAATACAATTGACCGTCATTTCACATCAAAGCAAATGACTCTCAAAGGAAGAAATGTAGGGCTGACCACTGATTCAAGCGCTATCTCTGCTGCTAAAACTTCAAAAACAGTGAGATGGAGAGAGTGAATCCATCATCAATCTAGAAAAATCAGTATGAATTCCTTCTTAATTCAACAAGTTGAGCTTGCTTGAGGATGTAAAAGATTGGGTTATATACCTTGCAGTATTTGGAATGAAGGAATCGTTAGGATTACCGTTGCTTTAATGCTTTATGCCCTTTTTGTGATTAACATGTGTGAGAAATTTGTTTAACAAGATGGAAATGGAAATGGGAAAAGAAATTGGAAGGAAAAATCTGGGCAGTGGTGTTTATGTGATTCTACTAAAGTTTGGACTCTGGTATTGGCCCAATGGGCTAAAGGAAAAAAAAACTATGTAAATGGGGTTTGACTATTTTCTAGATCAGATTCTAAAAATATATAATTTAAATATTTGTTTGACTATGATATTTGAATCTGAATATATATATTTAAATATTTGTTTGACTATGATATTTGATTGAATTTTAAAATTTTAAGTTCAAATATTTGTAACTATCCAAAATTGGTGGATTTTGCACAAACACAACTTCAAAAATTCTAATTTTCTAGTTTCAATTTCAAAATATCTGGCCAAAGAAGAGTTTATTATGTACTCAGGGGTCATTTGGTAGGCCGCATTAAAATAAATAATCCATATATTATGTATGGTATTATTTAGTACTGTGTTTGGTAGGAATTTAGGCATATGTATAACTAATTCATGAATTAGTTATACCTCCTACATGGTATTATAGGGTGTATTACTAATACCTTCCATTTGGGAGGTATTAGTAATACATTGGATATAATATCATGGGACAAGTCTATGTAAAGACAAAAATATCCCTCAAATCATTTTAATTATTTTCTTGATTTTATGTTTTATATTTGTACTAGTAAATTTATTTAAATAAATTAGCTTACAAATTATTTAGAGAAATTGTTTGTTACTACATAAATTCAATACAAATTAATACAATATTTGAAATGTGAGTTGCTTAACATTAACTAATTAAAAGGGCAAATATATCAATGTCTTAATTGAATGTATG